TCTTTTCGTCCATTGATCGTGAGTCAATTGACTACAAGGTCTTTTTCTATACGAGTAAGATAACTTATAAATTACAACGCTGGTACTTCTTATAAAATTTATTGGCAGGTTTCGAGTCCTGTGAGAAATAATAAAGAAGCCTGGCAGACTAATTATCAAGTTAGATATCACGTATCCGAGCTTTAATCTTACATTTGCTATAGTTTATATTAAATGAAAACTTACAGCCAATGACACCGAATCTTCACACAGTTTATGTCATTTCTGGCGTACACACCATTCGTCAGATTGCGAAAAAAAAATCAGCTCTATATTTCTTTTAAGTGAAAGCTGATTCTGATTAAAAACTGTACGAGCATATATTGCACGGTGTAAGAAGTGTACGCACAACTACTGAGCTCGCTTGTTGTTGTGTGTTGTATCCCTGTGTTTGAAATAAGGGTAAGCGCTCGCTTTAAAGCTTGAAAATAACGAAAACTTGTCGAATTACACGACAATACTTTTCCCTGCACAAGAATGCAGACTTGCTTGTCGTACTGGACGATTCAACAATCGATTAAATCGATCCAGCGCAATCTGAAGCTTGGAAACTTTACGTTTCTTTGATTCATTGTTTTCCGATCGCTTGTAATAGAAAACTGGTGCTGATATCGTTGAAATTTCAATCTCACTCTCTTCTGTATGATCTTGATGCCGATAGTTCGTATTGAGACTCATACTACGTCGTAAACTGAACCATGAAGTCGATGCAGAAGAGATAGAAGTAGATGGTCGACTTTGCATACTCGAAACTTGTCCAATCTCATTCGTCATACTGACATTTTCAATCACCACATCTTCTGAGTTTATAAACACAAGACTCACAGGTTTGGGTGCTAAAAGCATCACTTTCTTCACATCTTGTAACGTGAGACTATTAACTGGAAATCCACCTACAAGTCGAAGTTCACTTCCAATCTTTAGACTTGTAGCTACTTGTGTCTCTTGTGTAACGGTACTAACGAGAATATTTCCCGTACGTTTTCGTTTTAACGTAAAACCTGGTGCAGTGAGTCCACTCCACATAATTTCAACTGTACGTGGAGCTGAAGCTAATGGAAGTGAAATTTCACACCATGACGTTGATGAGGATGAAATTGAAGACGTTGGACCTTGATATACTCGACGATTACGATGACTTTTACTTCGAGTACGTGAGTTACGTGTTGATAAAGATGTAGAGGTACTGCATTCTTCGATGGAATTTTGGGATCTCTTGAGACTCATGAATGAAAAAAAAGCGATCAAATACAATCGAAGACTTTGAGATGACGACTTGGGTGGAGAAATTGAGAATGATAGCAAATTGGTAAGTCGTGCTTTGGGATAAGCACGACGAGCACAGAAAGGCAGAACACGAGTCAGAGCCGGTGGCTACGAGATTTTTGTTTTCTTCTGTCTTGGTAATATCGCTTTTGGGTACGAGTACTAAAGCTTATATTAACTTTTAAAAGAGATTGATGATATGCAACATTGGTTATGTACCCTTTGCATCTTGCGACTTTGGGAACATTCGGATCGCACGTGTGTCTGTATATGTACCGGTATCCTGTACAAGGTACAGTGTCATGAAGCATCTGGCGTGCTGCTGAGCCCGTCCGGTCTTCGCGAAGCTTTTACATGCACTTTAAGAGGTACATGATTCTCATCCCGAACATTACTTCATACCCTAATGTTTCAAGAAGGAAAGAAGTGGAAATTGTACACACCGAAATATCGAAATCTCAAGACGTTGGTGTTATTTACCATGTACTCAATTTTGTTATCTCTCTCTCTGCCAACTTGAAGTTGGAGATTAACCCGCGGCTCTCTGTGACAGAGCTACCCAATGGCTTTTCTACTATCACATATCACAGACTCAGTCGATGAACATGTGCAGTTCTTAAAGAGAGAGTATTTTTGAATTTGATAGTATGTATTAAAAAAGGTCGTAAGATCAAGTTATTGAACAATTATTGTGAGCTCTATTTAGTATAGAGTGAATATACTACACGATCACTACTGTAGGTAGATTTACTCATATGACCGCAGCTGTTTTTTGCTATATTGGCGTGTTTGTAAGAACAATTAGCAAAACTTGAAATTTTAACTTTTTGAAGTGTGATCAAAAATTACAACTTGGTTGATCTCACTCGTTAAGTGTTTTAAAACGAGCCTCGAATAGAACGATGGCTTGTTGCCTTGTAGCTGGTAAGAAATGCTTTCTAAGGATAACGATAATCTTCGACTAAGGATAAGGATAACGATAATCTTCGACTGCGGAGCTGCAATATATCACTTTTAGATTCTCACAAAGTCGACAATACATAAGTTGCTTGAGGTTCAAAGTCTGATTGTTACTTTCTTCAAGAAATTGTCTGTTGTTCCCTATCAGATGCGTATATTAAGATAAATTATCACGCATTCTTTGCTCCATGTTGTCGAACATATTGTCACATATATTGAAGAGTCGAACGGCAGAACGACCAAATAGTCTGTCTATTTGTAAAGAAAGGCTCGGAAACAGTCGTCGATAAACGGTTTTAAAAGAGATAACGTTTTAAATATCAGCTTGATCCTGGCAAGACTTGAAATAGTTTAACAATACTATTGTGACCGATTACCTATTTCTTTCGCAACTTGATCTTGCAGTAGACATCATATTTATATTTCTAAATAACTTGCGAGCTTTTACATTGTACAATCTTTAGCTGGACACTGCGGTAGTCAACAATTTTTTTTTCGAGATCCAGTAGATTACTTCGCTGTATAGATCCAGTAGATTACTTCGCTGTATAGTCAGTCAACTTTGTCAGTAGTATTCGAATTTTCATACTGAAAGTTGACAGTATATGTTTATGTCGGGTATTACTGCTTGCAGTAATACTTATTAAAGGCATAATTTTGACATTTCATTTGTTGTGTATTACACATTGAATAGCAAGCACAATTAGTTCGTCAACATAAATGTCACAATTAAGTCCAAGGGCATCATACTCCATCAGCTTTCAACACTCCTCTGTTCTAAGCAGCTTCTGACAGCTTAAACTCACTGTCATCGACGTGACACTTGCGCAGAGATTAGAATCGAAGCCACACATGCGTAGTATTCTAGATAGAGTGATTATATTATGACTACAAAACTATCTACTGAAGCGCCTCGAAGTCATCGTGAATGGTCGCTTTTCAACGCTGATGAGAAAAAATGAAAAGGTTGGTACATGACGTATCAACATGTGGCCGAAATGACGTCATTTCAAGCGAAAATAAACTTTTCAACTTTATTCCACCTAATACTCAAGTTTTACAATGAAATTTGTATATTATCTCGATTCAATATGTAAGAGACCTAGAGTTTCGATGTCGTCATGCGCAAACATGCAGGTTGATTTGATAAATGTCTTCTACACGATGATGCTGTTACCACCAGCAAGATGTAGACTAGCTCGCCGAACTGGACGATTTACTAATTGATTGATCCGATCGAAGGCCATTTGAAGCTTGGAGACTTTGCACTTCCTGGATGCATTGCTGTCGGACTGCATGTCATATGTCGTTGAAGCTGAGATGGTTGAGCCGCTACTTTCATTCTTTGCACCATTACTCTCATGATAAGTGTTCGTACTGTTATTCGTGTCGCATTGCTCATTGGCACTGGAAAGCTTTCTGGATGCTGACAATCGAGCCCGGATGTTTGTCCGCGTAATCACTTGTTCATTTTTATTGGAGCTAACTGGATTTCCAATATAAACATCTCTTGAATTCACGAAAACAAGACTCACTGGTTTTGGAGCCATGAGCATGACTTTCTTGACGTCTTCCAGTGTAAGGCTGTTGACTGGGAAGCCGCCTACAAGTCGGAGTTTGCTTCCAATCTTTAGCCTTGTGGCCATCTGTGTCTCCCGCGTTACAGAGCTGACAAGTATAATCCCAGTACGTTTCCATTTGAGTGTAAAACCTGGCGATGTAATGCCGCCCCACATAAACTCGACTGTGCGTGGAGTCGATGCCAATGGTAGCGATGACTTATACATAGACGACAAAACAGCGGACCCATGTGCCAAGCGACGACTGCGACGACTCTTTATTTTGGTACTTGAGATGGAGACAGACGAAGGAGATGAGGAAGTATTGTGATATTGATAATTCTTTGTAGGATTTTGCGGTCTCTTAAGACTCATAAATTGAACGTGTAGCGAATTTGTTGTCGATTTGCAGTAGCTCTTCTTCTATGATAAATCGATTGTGGTCGAATACTCAAAAGTATGCATAGAAAGTCAGTTCAGCGACTTGAGCTATTGTAGAAAGTCAGTTTGGTGACTTGTCTGAAAGGTCGTTGGAGAATATAATTGAAAATTTGAAAATTTGAAGACTTCAAAGGTTGGCGTTTTTTTTATTTCAGATCAAACACTACAAGGTACTGCACAAGCGTTCCATGTTGAATCTCAAGTTGAACATCTACTGCATCGAAGACGAAGAATGTGTATTGTACCAATATTACTAGCGGAGAAGCTAAGAAGGCCCTATACAATTACGGCCGCAATATTATTGGCTACATTTTCCAGCTGGTAGTATTTGTAACCATCCTGTAAGGACTTGCTGACTACAAAATTTTACCTTTTGTTATTCTTCGTTATTTTGCTGAGTATGACTCTTCATATCATGGTTCAATTACGCTATCTAAAGCAGTATGTTATCTTAATGAACAATATTTTTTGTCGTATTACTATTTCCGTTGATAATGTACAGAGTTGATACTCTTAATATCATCATACAATGCTCGGTGCCACACTATTATTTATAAAAAACAAAGTTAGCCAAATTTAATAACCGATATCTTACGTTGTCTAATCGTTTATTCTCTTTGGCAAATAAACCATATTACTTTAGTCGTTTGCCCTTTGCGATACTACTATTTTGAAACTATCTTGACCACTTCGTAAACATAACAACGTTAGACTTCAGCGCGTCTCACATTGTCCAGTAATTGTATAACCTACAAGCTTCTATATATTCACATCTAGTATCTGTATTCTAGTCAAGAACATGAGAAGCATATCATCTTCGTATCGCTTCGCATCTATCGCAGGCGACACGTCGGGCGTCCGATATCGCTACTTTTCGGCCGCACAAAATCCACACTTTTCGCATCAACCATCACATTCAACTGTAACACCTAGTGTATCTACATACACGTATCATTCGGATCAGAATTTAGCGCCAAGAAAGTCACTAGAGCTTCATTATGGTAGCATTCGTAAAAGCTGGAGACAATATATGGACACATTGGCCACTTTTCCTAAAATACAGCAATTTGTGCTTGAAGCAGCGAGCTTGTTTACTAAACCAGAAGAATTGGAGTTTTCCTTACCTAGAACGTTTGACTCGAAGTATAAACTTGGAGATAAATTAGGTGAAGGGGCTTTTGGTCAAGTCTTTTGTGCGGTGCCAACGCAGCAGGAGACCCGAGGGTGCGAATTGCAGCTTGATTTGGCAGTCAAAGTTGTATCGAAATCTCGTGTCATAAGTCGCAAGGACTATGCGGCATTGAAACAGGAAAAACGTATGATGATGCTTTTGGGTGGAACTTTAAATGTTGTGCACTTTTTTGGAGCTTATGAAGATGATATCAATGTCTACTTGGTCATGGAGCGGTGTGTTGGTGGTGATGCATTAGCACGAATATCAGATATTGAGAATCTTCAGTGTCACGAAGATCAGGCAAAAATATACATGAGAGACATTCTCCACGTAGTTTGGCAGTGCCATTTGCTGCGTATTCTTCACCGAGATATTAAACTTGAAAACTTTTTGTTTGCAGATGGAAAAGTTGATAGTCCGTTAAAACTCACAGATTTCGGTGGTGCAGCGTTTTTAAATAAAGGTGAATTTCTTCAGGATGTTCATGGTACACCGATGTATACAGCACCAGAGGTTCTTAAGCGTAAATACGCGTTCCCATCTGATCTTTGGAGTTGCGGAGTCATTTTATATCGTCTATTAAGTGGACGCTTTCCATTTGAACCTGGACCGCTGCTTGATGAGCGTATTCAATACGATGATATCGATCTTGAGAGTGCACCATGGACTGACATTTCAAACGAAGCGAAAAATTTGGTACGCCATCTCTTAGAACGAGATGTTTCGAAACGAGTCACACCAGAGGAGGCACTTCAACACCCATGGTTAGCTACAAGTGCTGGATTAGTGACGGCTTCTGCTGCCGGTAAAGAAGCCACTAAAGGTCTTTCTGGGCCAGTTCTTAACGGAACACTTGTGCAGCGATTGCAACTTTACCGATCACTGAATAGTTTGCAACGGGCCGTTTTGATTGAAGTGACGCGAATGCTGCCTCTCGCAATGAAGCAGGACGTGCTCGTGCTTTTCTCTGAAGTGTCGCAAAATGGCAGCGAAAAAGTCGGTCTGGACGAGTTTGCAGCGTACGTGGCTGCTGGTGGTTACCACCTCACAAGAGGCGAAGCAAAAGGGTTTTTGCGAAATTTGGATCTCGACGGCGATGGAAAACTATCACGTCACGAATTTTGCGCTGCTTTGCTCCATTGGTCTCATCTTCAAACTCAACACTCGAAAGTTTTTCTTTACTGTGCAAATCGAGTATTTGATTCAATTGATCGAGATAAAGATGGTTTGTTAAACATTCAAGATATAGCCACACTGGTGCCTTTTCAGGAAACTGGTAAGTTCTTGCATTCATTTCGGAACGATCTCGACCGCTGCTTCCAGCACACTGACCGATCAGGCAAAGGAAAAATCGATCAGATTGACTTTCAACACATGCTACGCATCTCTGATGAAGCGTACAACCATTTTCCATCAAGACTTAGGCTCTAGAAGAGTTTGAGATGTGTTTGATGATAGAACAACAAGATTTAGACGAGAGCAGCATAAAAAAATGCGTTGGTGAGCAATTGATTTGAATTTATCTTGAAAAATTCATCTAGGATTTGAGTACTCGAACAATTACAAGTGTTGTTTATAAGTGTGTTTGAAAGTGATGTGATCGTCAATAAGCCCATTGAGACGCCAAGAAGGTCAGCGGGACAAACGAGGCCCAAAATAGTACGTCAAGATAATCCCAACGTGAAATCAAAGTAAAAGACCGTCGTGAAGTTGGTTGGCGCTGCTTCTGACAAAAGAACAGCAGCATCCAGATTGAAAACATGACCATAAAGGCCAGAATCGGATACAGAACCAAAGACGGTGGTGCCTTTGTAAATAGGACGCCGTTAGCTGAAAATTTCACCCACACCAGAACCTCAAATGTTGCAATCGATAATATCATCCATGCGTTCTGTCCAAGACGCCAGCATTCCGGGTTTGTAATAAATTCGTAATACTACAATAGATACTGTCATCTCACCACAAACTGATCGAAAAACAAGCAGATCAAACGAGATATCTTACCTCAGCAGCTGCAGGAATTCCAAGCAAAAATACGAGTAACAAGCGATAGGAATTGAAGTTGCTCTCCTTTGGAATACTCAATGTTGTGAGCAAAAAGAACGCATTCATCTCCATCAACAGACACATGGCAAACGCGAAAACTATTTCTGCGAATCGACTAAAACTCGAAAATACCTCCCAATGATATTGTTCCCACCTCAAGGGTGTAAACTGGTTCAAAGCTAAGCGAAAGTAGCCCATTTTCTTCCCTCGACGTCCCGACCAATCGTACTCTTTTGACTCAAGTAACCATAGCGTTATACGACCAAGACACATGCCGAGCATATTGGCACCCAATAAGTCCAACATAAGCGAATCCCACCTACAAAAACGTGAATTCGATTGAACAATTTCAACTTCAGCTATCTTTTACAAGCTAATAGCGTACCAACACTCTTGAAAATCTGGTATAACGAACTGAAGTGCAAGCTCGAGGAATTCAAAGGCAATGCTGATCATCCAACAAAATCGCCAATCGCGAAACATGCACATTTTCCCCCACCAGCCCGTTACATGTGCACAGAACCAAATGCTTGTCATTCCACGTGTTAATGACTATAATTTTAAGTACATTGTCAGCTTTTCTTCTCTGTATTAGCATTAAGAAACAAACCTCCGCATTAATTTTGCACTGCAATTGTGCAGAAATCGTCATCTTGGGTCGACTTCCAACATCAGGAAATACATACTGCATGCCTTTAATTGCACTTTCTCGATTCTGCACAAGCATAGCTGCTAACAGCAGCAAATATACGACTGAACATCCATGCACTACTCGCCACAAACCTGGATGGGGTCGCATCATAAGACCATCTCTTGTCTGGAGAAAGCAGTAAACTAAAAAGATCCAAATGGCGGCGAAGAGTGCGTTACGAACGTTCTGGATGGTGTCCTGTGATTCGTGAGTGAATGAATAGTATGAAAATGCTAATACAACCAGAAGCAGCACGAAGATTTGACGTGGTTGTTCTGGAAACAACAATAGTCCCTCGATCTCGTTGCCGTGTGTAGCACGAAATGTATTGTAAGTCCAGCTCGGACTTGGACTTGAGCGATGAAGGCTTCGTGGAGATTTGCTTATGATTTCATTTGCTACGTTACGAGTATTTACAGCTGACAAGGACTTGCCCTTGCGTTGACGTAGAGAAGAAAGCTTGACGTCTGCTATAGCCATTACTAAAAAGAAATCTATAAAGAAGGAAAGAAAAATATGAATATGGTGATATTATAAGTTGGAAACAGCAATGTAATATACATGTAAGACAAATACAATAATATTGTTTTGATTAGATTAAATCTCTTGAATGCCAGAATGGCGACTTTAATATGCACAATACGTTAACAATGTCGCTCGCTATGAAACAAAAAGAATCGGCAGTGTCTATGGAAGACACATGCTCATTGGCTCGTTTTAATGACATTGTCCACAAGCGTTGCCCAGAAAAGTATCGGAGAAAGAAACAGCGACTAAACGATGGAGGCTGCTGTCAAGTGCTCGATCTCATTCTGCTTTGTATCTTCCCTATCAGCTTTGGTCTCAACGACTTGGTCTCTGGTTGATATACACATAGTAGACCCATCCTTGATTAAGATGTTTATGTTTGACTTGCCATCCATAGACTTTTCTTCAATGCACTTCTTGCTGATGTCATTTTGAAGAGACTCTTTCTTGACGAGCGCTTCAATTGGAGCGACAAAATCACCTTCTATCTTCTTCAACTTGGTTTTTCCATTCAAGGCAGGTATCCGTGGACTGCACAAGGTAAGTAGATCGTATGCAGCTTGTAGTGATTCGCCATCAAGTCTCACTGGCTCACCGTCCGAATCAGATTCTGTAAATGAAGACGCAGGATTACTGTCGCTATCGTCGATTTTGTTTGAATAATGCTTCAATTTGGACAGATTTAAATATATAATAGGAAACATTTCCTGTTTTTTCGACGACGTCAAGGAGGAACTTTTGTCACATTCAGAGGGTGACAAGACGGAGTCACTCTCGTGATCAGATCCTTTCTTTTTGTTCATATTGTGAGTAGTCGAGAGCGTAAGATACGAGGGTTTCCTCATTCGTGCTTCAGTCCACATCGCCATAGTTAGACTCTCGAGTTCGGAAATTCGACATGCTGCCTCATCTGAGTCCCATAAAATTCTTTTGCGAAGTTTAAACTTCTTTTGGCCATAATTTTTGGGCATTGCCTTGCCGTCAATCATACCTGCACAGAGTTTTTTTGACACGCGCATGGGATCGCATTGCAACTGCACAGCTAAGTAACCACGTAGCCGAATGCCCGTGTAAATAGGTAAATACCCTTCTTCAAATGCCTCAATTAAGAGGCGAGCAAGTCGCTCCTCGGTGCTGGTCCATTGACCCTTACGGAGATAATCGTTACTGGCTTTACGTTTAGTGGGCGTGGAGGGTACTTTCAGGTCATCTTCCGTCTCGACTCTCTTTCTCTTACCCGTAGAGCGCGTTGATATGGGCAATGGTATCGAATTCTTACGTTTCTTATCCAATTTTGACCGGGGTATGATGTCTTCGTTTTTTTCAAGAAACATTGGGGGCGACGGAATGCTAGCAGCGCGTGATGACGCGGTAGCAGTATTTTTACGCTCTGTTGAGATAGTTGAGACTGTTGGAAGTATCGGAACTGTTGGGTTTGTCGTAGATTTGGATAGTGATGTTAAATTCGGCGCTGACTCTTGCTGTTCGTCTGACTTGTAGTCAATTACTGAAGACGTCGACGCCGTTAAGCACAGCGAGCTTAATACATCCATTATACACAAAGAAGTAAACGGAGCCTTAAGTTGTAGGAACACACCCACGCAGCTACAGACAACGAGGGCGTGGAAATTGCGAGACGCTAAGGGGGGAGAGGAGAAGTACTTTGAAGTCTATGCGACACCTATAGAATTACATAACATCTCAAAGTAAGATCTATTAATTTATCAAAATAGCGTGTGAATCTGTTTTTACCTACCTTTAAAACTATATCCTGTATATTATAATTTTCATGATAAAATATTGCTTTTGACACAGCAACTTTCAACACCATCACTCTTGCAGACCTCAAATTTGTGAAGTAATTTCTTACTCAGTTCTCAAGTAATTTATTTGGTACGACGTACCACTCCAACCGCAGATAGAAAGTAAGTCTCCCCCCAATGCGTGAGTTATCTTCGCCTGTGACAACAAAAGCTGAAGATGTTTCGTCGTCACCCACAGCCATGTCGAGTCAAAATGAGACGTTAAAATCATCAAATGGAACTGGTCATCGCAAGCGTGTCTTTACCTTTCAAAAGCGATGGTTGCACTCTCTTCCGATCGTTGAACGTGCACTCTTTGAGACAGAAACAGCTGACGAAGCTCGCGATCTCGATCGATTATCTAGTGAGACTTTAGAGTCTAATGCTACAGATACAACAAGGCAAAAAGATGTGATTGTTTGTATGTTATGTGATGATCCAACGTCCAAGCGCGAGATGACTAAAGTATGGAATCGTCTCAATTGTCGTCGTGGGCGTATTGAGAATCATTTAGTGAGCAAACATCCAGAATTTATGCGTTTACTTAAACACAAACGTGAGGCAGAAGGAGATGTAGCGGTACAACTTTTTTTACAAAACCTGCGCGAAGGCCGATGCAATGCACGTACCGAGATCAATAATGGCTTGTATAGTCAGCTAGCTCTCACTGCTACTACACATTCAACTTTTGATTCTGAAGGTACTTTAGCAGAACATAATGCGGTTCAAAAACGTTCTTTTGGTGACTTTGTAAATGGGCGTGAAATGCGCGAAGATGCAGAAAGTAATCAAAAGCGCGCGAAACTTTTGGAATCTCCAGTCGATACAAAAGATTCAGCCTTATATTTTGCTGCAGGGTTGACAGTACCACGCACAAATACTACACTATCAAATACAGTAGCAACGGTTGATGGAAAAAGCTCGACTTGTAGTACATTATATCTCGATGCAACGATTCCACCACAGTGGCAAACAATATTTTTTAACAAATTGGTGAGTGCTAAGGAGACGGAAGGAAATTTGGTGAGATATTATACTGATATGCTATTGTGTTAATATATAGGTCGTTGTGACTGGAGGAGACAACAATAATATCGCTTTTATCGCGACACAACTCTGGCTTTTGGGTGCGAATGTTTTACTTGCCTTTTGGTAAGTTCTTTTAAACGGTAGCTGAACTTATTGTAGGCTGCTAATGAATGCATGCACTCAGCACTGTGTCAGCCTTGAACGAGTTTAACATAAAGCATAATGGTCGGTTTCCGGATCCACCTGAAGACGAAGAAAATATGCGTGGTGTGATGTTACCCGTGCTAGTTTCATTTCAGACACAAAAAAGTATTGACGAGTGGTGCAATTCCATTGCTGTCAAGTATCAACGCGTCGATTTTTTGATCAATTATGCGGGTTCTGAAGTAATAGAAGCGCTGTCAAGTGAAAAGGATGATCATAGCACAAACGATGACCCAAAGTGCATATTCTCCAGCATGTACGATATGACTGGCAGATCAGAATATGCTATAAAATGATGGCTTACTATTTATGTTGTGATGTTGTAGAACTCTCATCGAAGCTATATGTGCTTCAATGTCATCGTATTGCTTCCCAGATCGAACTATCAGTGATGACACATGGTCAACAACGAGTACTGGGACTATCGTAAATGTTGTTTCAGGCGTAGACGATGCCACAGTTGAGCCGCTTGTCAAAATGTTGGCTGCCAAATTTCAACCACGCAGTGTGCAAGTAAACTGCGTGTTGCTGCCACCGCCTCTTGAAGTTGACGACGCTGAAGTCACCGATCACACAGTCACTTTATCACACACGATTCTGTTTTTGTTGTCACCATTGAGTCGATTATTGTCAGGTAGCGTGCTGCGAATTCAATCAGGAGAAATTTGGTTGCCCTCGACGTGATCAAACGTTCACAATAGCGTCTTGTCCGTTTATTTAGTATTTAATTTCTTAATGTCATCGCAAGCTCAATTGCGGATCATATTTTTTAATATTGTTAATTATTTAATATATATTATATGTAAACATTTTATGAATAAAGGAATAAAAAATACTACTAATACAAAAAGTATTTTACATGATAATTTAATCATAATTTACGTATCACATGCAAAAAATTTTAATAAGTATATTTCCTTGAGTCCAGGGAAATTTTATTGTTAGAGAAATCTCGATTTTGACTTAGATAGGTACAATACTAGGACTTTCAAGTGTCAAAAAGCTCACAAGTCATTCTCCATCTTCATCTTGATCGACGAATCTGCCAATCGACGTGTCTGAGACTCATAAGCGCGATTCATTGCTTGCTCAAAATGCTCAAATTTGACATTTGTATGGCCGTGACGTACGGCGAGCAACGCAGCTTCATTAACTAGACTTGCAAGCTGAGCCCCTGAGCATTGTCCAATTTGGCCACATTTTTGAGCCACAACAGACAGGTCTACATCGCTATCAAGCCGCACATGGCGACAATGTACCTTCAATATATCCTCACGTCCTTTGACGTCAGGGAAACCCACATACACGTGGCGATCAAAGCGCCCAGGGCGGCAAAGTGCTGGATCGAGCACTCCTGGTCGATTTGTCGCTGCAATCACTATAACTCCGCTAGCATTTCCTTCGAACCCATCCATCTCTGTCAACAATTGGTTAAGCGTTTGCTCTCGTTCATCATTTGAATTAATCCCACCACGCGCTTTAGCTAGCGCATCAATCTCGTCGATGAAAATGATACATTGCGGATACTGTGAAGCTTGCGTGAAAAGATCCCGTACTCGAGCTGCACCTCTACCAACAAGCATCTCGACAAAGTCAGAAGCTGAACAAAAGAGAAACGCAACTCCTGCTTCTGACGCGACTGCTCTAGCAAGTAGCGTCTTGCCAGTTCCTGAAGGTCCACAAAGTAGTACACCTTTTGGAACTTTGGCACCAATTGCTTGGTACTTGGCTGGATGTCGTAAGAATTCCACGACCTCCTCCAACTCTTTTCTTGCGCCATCAATGCCTGCCACATCGTCGAACGAGATTCGCTGAGTTTCTCGTTCATTTTGTACGTTTTTGGTGCCATCTTTACCAACTGCTCCAGCATCGGTATGATACATCTTGCGAAGCATCTTGTACGTTAATCCTAAGTACAGGAAGGGCATGATAGCTATAGCCAAGGGCGCTAATTTGCTGGATGTAGATGGCGCCATGGAGCCAAAGTCGACTCCAGATCGTATCAGAGCGTCAAGAAGAATTGAATTGTTTGTTCTTGGTGGCATCAGCACCCTACGTGAGTCATGATGGTGCAGTAGATTAGTAAAAGTGTTGCAGAGATTACAATATCTTTTAGGTCAAGTGAAGATTATTTCACAGTCATGTCGTAGAACTTACTTGTAAGTCTTGTAACTATCTTTGGCTTGCACAATACAGTAATCTCCTGCAAGTAGCACTTTTCCAATGCTGCGGTTTCTCAGATCGTTTAGAAAAACACTAAATAGTCTTATTGATGACGAAGTCGATGCCTTAGTTGCAGAGAGAGCACGAAACCTGGCTAGCACTGATGCCACCAATAAACGAAGCTGCTGGGCACCTTTTCCAGCTAGCAACAATACGCACAGTGCTGTTACAAAACGTCGCGCACTTGGCACCTTCATCACTTAGACTCAAGTATGACCAAATTTCAATGGATACCTTTTTTTATAATTTTAGAGAATATTACTTGCTTCGACATATTTATGTGATAGCGCTATTGAATGAAGCAAGCACGACTTTTAACTTGCAACGCCAGCTTTTCTTCCTCAAGAACGCGTAATCGTCGCATCAGATCTTCACGTTCGTTTGCATCGCTAATTGCACGTTGCTTAAGCATCTAAACAAAACAAACTCATTTTAGTAACATCAATATGTTAAAATTTCCATCTAACAAAAAGCATCAAAATTAAGGAACCTCAAGTGCTTGGTCATTGGAAGCAACAGACACTTGAAAGCGTTTCGTGCTGTCAATTGTGGTAGCAAGTAGCTGATCTTCCAACTGTTTTCGAGCTTGCTTAAGCTCTTCATTCTGATGTTCTCGTTCCGCTAATTTCTGCTCTAATAACGTCCTTGCGCATTCCTGTTCGTGTCGCGCATGTTCAAGATCCAATGCCCTTTGAACATCTCGTTTCGATTGAAGCTGAGCCTCCAAACACTCGCGATCTTTAAATTGAGCTATGGACTTTGCCTCTGCAAGTTCAACTTCAACTCTTTGTCGTCGTTGAACTTCCTCTGCTGCAGCTGCTTCACTAGCAGCTAATGCAATTGAGTCAGCGGTTGAAGTCGATATAGATTTTAAATCACTTTCTAAAGCTTTTGACCTTGACGATGAAATGTTTAAAAAAGTAAATTGCAACATTTTGGTGTCCACATTGTCGATAAGTTCATCAGTAACTAAAAGTTTGATAATCTAGTAAACAATAACATTAAGTAACAATATTTAGATTGAATGATAAAGAAATTGCGTACATTTGAGTGATCAAGTGGAAAACAAAAGCTTTCACTTGAAGCCAAAATCTGATATTGCACATGCAAAGCTTTCTCTCTTGCAGCAAGTATACCAAAGGTATTCTGTTCACTTGAAGGTTGCATCCGGATAAGTAGCCAGATATACGTCCCTCGCAAAGAATTTAAGGTTTTCTCTTCTGCCTCATCAAGACATCTCACTTTGCAGTCTTGTGTATACTTTAAAGGACTATTACTTTGGGCTTCCGCTTGAATATCGTCTGATAAGTCACTGCATGTCAAGTGAGATGACTGGAAGTCTTCAAGTAGTTGGTCACGCTCCAAAACAGGCGGTTGAATTGCTACTCTCAGATGTACATAAACAGATTCAAGTGGTAATTCTGTTGCTGATTCTTCTATAGGAATAATTTGGATATTCGTCTCAACATCGAGCAAGTACCGAAGTGGACGGAGAAAAATGGCTCCGAAGCCTACTACACAACCCGAAGAGTCCATGAGCGCAACTTTAGAAACTATATGCGACTCCAGAAATCACTAATAATACACGTTTTTCAACTTCTGAGTTGGCTAAAACTCAAAGGGTAAATAATATAGTTAGTTCACTTTCGACTTGTCCTAAAAACCTACGAAAAAAGGTTAAGAAACTTTTCTCTCTTCACCTGTTTGTCGAAGTTTTGTTTGAAAAGGAAAATGACAATGACTGTGCAAATGAATTGAAGGTTTTGGAATGAGCACGTCGTTTTTCAGGAGAATCCAAAGCTCCACGTAAATACGGCGGTGGTAGCATTGCCGTCGGTTTAACAAGTGGCACACATTCGTGTCCTTGAGATACTTGAAAATTCCCTTTCAACATATTCAGCTTTGTCATCGACGTCTTCGAATTATTTATTGCCATCTTTTCAAGCTCATCTGCCGGTGATAATGAACGCATAATTAACGGTATTTCTAATTGTGCTGAACCCCGTGATGTCGTTGACAATGGTGTAGCCATCATACTCTCCAGTGACACAAAGCTTGTTGCACTTAAAGGACTGGAAACAGCAGACAGTGGATGACTGGCCAATGGGCTATCAAAACCCTGATTTTTGATCAAAGAGCGCGAAATGTACTCAGAAGAAAACGTTCCTTCCTCTTCTTGTGGTACTAAAACAGGCTCCATTATCTTTCGTGTAGACTGCCTGTCGAACCCCTCCAATTGTAATTCCTGACTCTGTAAACCAGAATCAATCATCAGCGTCAAGTGTCCATCGTCCATCGCAACATCTTGTCGCTGTGTCTGGTCTAAGACTACTTTATTTTCAAATCCGAAACCGGGTAAGCGTTTTCCTGACCCAAATGTATGACGCAGCACTCTTTTTTGATTTTTCGCAGCCATCGACTCCACAACAACTCCCTCCTGATGTGCTTGTACATGACTCGCCTTGATAGCAAAAATCCGACATTGGCAGCCTTGACCAGGTGCTGTTTGGTGTTGATGATGATTTTGTACCGCTAAAGCTTCTTCTGACCCATAAAGTAACATTTGTTCTATATCTTCTTCTGCGTCAACCAATTCTATCATCGAATGTTAAATTTGTTTCAATAGTATAAGTATCCTCGACGTACCCGACTGATAAGGCGTGCCAAGCAAAAGTTCATTCGACTCGCCAAAGGCATCAGATAATTGAGGATCGAGCATAGCACTTGGACGAAATACGTCAACGTCAATGTCCATATCTGTGTCCAGTGTCTCTTGACACTCTAGCGGAAGCAAAATCGTGCGTTGCACACTCCTAGTAGATCCGGACGTCTTCTCACCATCGATTGGCAAGAGCGGGCTATAATTGGAGTCGTCTAGAGCACGTACTAATTGCATTCCTGAGGGCAGCGCCATCGTCAGTGGGTGGCGAATGTTGCCTTGGTTTTACGAGAGACAAGATGTAAGAATTGAAGCAATTTCATTGGATAATATCGCCGTATTTCATTTTCGACTTTGTTAATGATGACAAGAATAGCTTTGTTATAATGAAACATAGAAACTGGAATCAAAATTTAGATTTTTTGTTGTCATACACATTTTAAACTTTAGAGTTGTTCGTGCTGACTTCCTGCCTCTGTATTTAAAGCACTGACGAATAATCAAAAAATAACAATAGTATCAGTATCAAAATTAAATTTTACTTTAATGACTTTAATGTCTAGGATTAAAGAAGATAAGATAAAGGGAGAATAAAAAAAATGCCAACTTTTGCCATATATAAAAAAAATATCCCAACTTTTCAAAAGATAAAAAAATACCCCAGCACGTAAATTATCACCGGGGAGCCGTAATATTACACAACAG